CAACCAGGTCAGAAGCTTCGGAAAGTCCCAGCACACGAGGGGAATAACAACATATACGACGCAAGACTGTTTTCAGAGGCTTCGCAAGGGCCTTCCTGTTCTCAGCCCCCTTTAGAGAACCGAAACCGGAAACCAGCGCTGATGCATCGTGATGCAGTTTCAGCCATAAAGACGACCCCAAACTCCAATCTGCAGACTTATGTTTGGGCAAAAGGCTTTGGCCCTTTTATCAAGAGACAGACAAATTAGTGTACTTTAAATATTTTAAGTAAAAATAAAAGGTTTAAGAAATGTATGCGTGGTTAAGTAGGATTTACAGATGCTCTGAGAAGTCTGACCCAACCCAGCCCGTCCTCCCCAGCGTGGACACCAGCTGCACGCCTCAGCCTGGCCTCTGACCATGTGGCCTTTGGCCTTCCCGCCTCCCGCTTCACGCAGACTGGGCTCCACGAATACGTGGTGAAAGAACCGGTGAAACAAGCACTGAATGCGCAGACGACCAGCCCCCACCCACCCTAATGCCTGGCCCAGCGCCTTGTGCAAAGGAGACGTTCAGAAAACCCTGCTAAAAAAATTAAATTTTGACTCTTTGCAGACTTTCTAGCTGAGTGTGTTCCCTGGTGCCTTTGAGGCCCACAGGAGGGGCTGAGCCCAGGGTCAGACCATCCACTTCTGATGTGACTCTGAAGCCCCCCGCTACAGCCAGCCCGAGGTCCTGTGAGGTCAGCCTGGTCCTGTGAGTGGAAGGCTTAGCCGGCCAGGGCAGGGAGGACGCCTCTGGCAGCAGGACTCTCAGCTGCAAGACCTTTTCGGCAAAACAAAGCCATGTTTATTTCCCTTTGTTTTCCCTAGAAGCCCCAGTCACCACCTAGACCCCTGGATGGGCAGGTCTGCAGAAACCTCTGCCCCAGAAGACCCAGGAACTGCTGCCCCATCCTTAAGGGCATCTGAGATGAGAGCTGACAGGTGAAATGCAGACAGGCTGCTGGGGATGGGAGCCTGATGGGGGAGTGGGGGGGATGTACGCTGTAGCACCATGGTTAAAATCATTGACTATGAAGTTAAAAAGTGAAAAATCTGAGTTGACATTCTGCTCTTTCTGGAGATCGGAGCTGTGTGACCTCAGGCAGGTGTGTAGCCTCTCTGATCGTCACTTTATACTTTCATGTACCATTGCCTCGTTAACTCCCAACACCCACTCATGAGGCCCATAGACCTGCAGATGTGGAAGGGACCCGCAGTGTCCCCAAGGTTATGGGGTGGACACAACCCAGGCCTTGAATCCAGCTCATCTGGCTCAAGGCCCAAGGCTCACCCCTTCCCCACACTGTCCTGGGGGAGCCGAGTTTGATGGGTGCAAGTCAGACTGTCCCTTTTAGGAGAAGACTGGTGAAGAAAGATGGCTCATGACTCCAGGAGAAGATGCTGGAAGCCTCCCCATCTCGATTCCCTAGACCCAGCCTTTCTCTGCTCTGTGAGAAGGGACTTGTTCAGGGAGCTGAAGTGCTGGGTCCCCACTACCACCTCAACGTGAGGCCTTGGGAAAGTCATGAGACTCAGAGAGGCCCAGGCTGCGGACTCACCTACTTCGAGATCTGACCGGGGCCTGATCTCAGAGGGGCTGCTCAGAGCACACAGAGCCGGGGGTGCCCCAGAAAGCCCCAGGAGCCCCAGCGGCCTCCGTGCTCCCTGTGCTACTGTACCCACGGGGTCCTCCACCGTGGGAAGGAAAGACCCCTTCCTACTCTCCTCTGTGCCCCAGACTCGGAGCTGGGCACCCACAGAGCAGGACGGTCACACGGGATGGACCACCCTACTCCTTGCTTCGCCCCAAGCGTGCGGGTAATGAGCACAGGTGCAGTTTGGGCGGGTCCTGGGCCCCCGGCAGGAAGACTCGGACACTCCCAGGTGGCGGCCGAGGAGAAACTGTTCTTCCTCGGGGGCCTGCTGCAGTCACTGAGATGCCACCACTTCCGCCTCTGCGGCGTCCTCGTCACCTGCAGGTTTTCAGGACAGCAACCTGCAGGCCTAAGAGACCCAGGACTGCCCAGCCTCCGCCCTGCCACTCGGAACCTGAGCAGGGGCAGTTCTGCAAAGGATGGGAACCCCGAGGGGGAGGGACGGGAGGGCTAGGGACAAGGGCCAGGCTGACAGCACAGGGCTTCGGGAGCAGGGACAGGGTCGAGGTCGCGGAGTCAAGGCCAGCTCGGGGGCCATCAGGCACGAGCACGGAAAGTGAGGTTGGAGGTTGCCTTCCAAAGGCATCCCTGGAGCAGGGGGCCACGAGGCCACTGGCCCCCGAGACTCTCTCAGGGGCCCGCAAACATGCTAACCATGTTTGTTGTTTTCACAAGCTGCTCCCTTGGGAGCATAACTCACTCAGAAACAGCTGAACTGGAGAAACTCGAAACTGCCCATGTGGCTTCTGTGGGTCTCCTGAGGGAGAAAGAACCCTATCCGGGCCTGGGGCCACCACTTGGCTCACTCGGGAGAAGCATACAGAACAACAACTTGCCATTCACCCCGTCCCCCTCACTCCAGTCACAGGGTCCTGCCTGGACAGGAAGATTCGCCACCTCAGAACAGACGTGTCGGGAAGCTCAGCCCTCTGCTAGGCACTCAGACCTGCGTGGGCCCCTCAGGGCACAGCCGAAAGGGACAGACCAGTGGGCACGCACTCCATCCTCTGACTGCCGACCAGCCTACTGGACCCACCCCCCTATTGCTGGCTGAATAACGGCTCCCAAAGGTGTCTGCGTTCTAATTACTGGAACCTATACATGTTACGTTATCTGGCAAAAGGGGCTTTGCAGATGTGACCTTGATGATCCTGCGTTAGCATCCTGTGGACCCAGAGGCATGGCAAGGGTCCTTGCAAGAGGCCAGAGGGGGAGAAGCAGAGAAGGTGACAAGACGAGGGAAACAGTGTCAGAGAGAGTCTCAAGGTGGAGGAAGGGGCCACATGCCAAGGAATGCAGGTGGCCTCTAGCAGCTGGAAAAGGTAAGGAAACGGATTCTCCCCAGAGCCTCCAGGAAGCGCCAGTCCTGCCCACCAACATCCTGACTTGAGCCCCGTGAGACTGAGCTTGGATGTCTGAGCCCCAGACCTGTGAGGTAATGGCCTTGTGGTGTTCGGTTCAAGCCACGCGGTCTGGTGTAACCTGCTGCCGCTAACATAGCTCTGCAGGCAGCCCTGCCAGGAGCAGCTCTGGGAAAGTGAGGTCTTGAGCCTAGAGTCTCAACCGGATCTGCCCACAGGGAGAGGATTCTGGAGCAACAGAAAAATACCCGCCCACACGCAAGGCCTCTCACGGCTGGACGAGGCCCAGCTTCCTCCAGCAGCGCGTGGCCTTTGCTTCAATTCCCAAACGGAGTCATCTGGGGAGAGGTCATTCCGAGGGGAGGTTTACACGAAGACGGAGGTTATCCTCGTCAGGACGTTCCCTGAGAGCTGGTTTCCGAGTCAGGGCGGGAGGTGGTCCCACAGCAGAGAGGGTTTTGGACAGGCCCCGGGGGAGGGAGTCGTGCCATCAGCCCTCCACCCACCCGTCTGTCCCGACCCCTGTCTCCCACCGGCCACTTCTCCTCCCAGGCACAGCATCTTCCCTGCTGAGTGAAGCCGTCCCTGGTTTTGCCATCAGAGCTGGGGTCCTCCTCATTTCCAGGCCTGGACTCGCCAGGCCCTCTTCCCCCAGCACACAACCATGGGGGGCAGTGCTGGGGAGACACTCGCCCAGGGTGAGTCTTCCCAGAATTCGGGGACCAACCCATGCTCCCCACTGCCCCCAGGATGGCCCCGGCTTCCAGAGCCCCGAACTTGAGAGGACCTCATCTCTCAGGCTTGCCCTGGCTGCACTGGGGGCCTTGAGCGTCCAGTGACAGTGCCGTGCACCCAGTGACACCAGGGGTCTCAAACTCGCAGCCCCCAGGGGCCAGGCGGGCCCCGGGAATGAGGGCAGCAGCCTGCTGGGAGCAGCAGGTCCTGCGGTCACCCAACCATCAAATCTAAATGTCTGAGGATGTCGTTAGGCCCGTCTGTGGGTAGGGCTGGACGTCGCCGCCCTGACTCCCGCCCCTGGCTGGCCTCACCAGGGCGTCCGTGGTAACGTCTGATCTCTCCCGCCTGCTCTACTCTCTCGCACCGTCACCACATGCGGCGGGTCCCCTGCGTACCGGGTGCACATCACACGCAGGTGAGACACAGAACTGCTCCCGTGGTTCATTCACGCACAGTGGACGCGGCGGAAAACCTCCCACAAGTGCTCTGACGGCTCATGAGGAAGGGCATGCACCCCGGGTCCCAGTCACAGGGGCCCACATTTAATTATGTTCAATATTAATAAACGTACAGCACAACAGTGGTTCATTAACATACCTTACGCGACTAAGGGAGTACAATTTGATACAACCCGATGCACAGCTTTGGGGACACAAAGGAACTTCCAGACCGGGTCGTGAGAAATCCTCCATTTCACTTTCGTTCGGGATGACAGGCTCGAGGACCACGGCTCGAAAGGGCAGCTGTGCTGTCACCTCAAGTGGGGCCTCGAGTGAGAGAGAACAGAGGAAAGCAAAGGGACAGACAGACAGCCCTTTGGAGAAAGGCCCCCGGAGACACCGGGTCTGCACGGCGCTGATCGGCACCAAGGGATCGTCTATAAAAAGATTTGTATAGTAAACCAAATAATATTGGAAATAAGACTTTCAGTAGTACTTCTGTAAGAAGCAGAATTACGTTACATGTTGTTCACATGCACAGGGGTGCGTAAGAAAAGTCCTTGTAATTACAGTTGGGGCCGAAGAGCAAAAATCTGGGCTGAAAGTGACAAGCGAGCTGCAAGAGAAATCAACCCATGAAGGGGTGTGTCCAGAGCGGAGAAAGCTGACCAGCAACAGAACTGAAGGGAGCCCACTCAGAAACGCACACACACACCCACGCACACCGCACCTGCACTGCAAATAAATACACACGCACATGCAAGTGACGTCCCCTACGGCACCTTGTGCTCAGGCCAGGTTTGCCTGCTGGCTGCTGCTCCGAGGGCCACCGGGAGAGAAATGGGGGCCTGTCCCTGAAAGTGGGTGTTCAGGCCCATGGCTCCTTCACAGCAGAAACAGCCCGGCCGTGCCATTCAGAGCCCTCCACACGCCTTCAAGTGGGCTGAGCATCCCATCTCCAACGGCACTAGGGCTGGACAGCTCAGCAAATCCTCACTCCCACGACTGGCGGCTGGGAGTGCGGGCATTTGCATTCTCTGACTGGTGTGCATCCGGGACCTCGACTTGGGGAGCTCTGATTCGCAGAAGCTTCCCTTGACGACCACGTGCAAGGCTTGGTTGGGGTCCCACCTGGGGCTGTGCGCAAGGACTGTGTTCAATCTTTCCCATCACCTCCAAGTAACAGCAAGACCTTCAGCCCATCCAACAGTAAACCAGGATGCCAAGTGGCCCAGGAAGTTCTGTTAAGGACACAGCTCCCGGCATTCTCGTTCCAAATCCCAGCACAGCATGCCTGGCCCAGGCATAGCTCACGTGCTGTGCTTCCGAATCAGAAAAAAGCATCCTACAGTTCGTTGAGTGAGGAAGGACCTCTGTCCACACACGGTGGAGAATGTGCTAACAAGTTCACTTGGGAGGAAAGGCAGAGCAGCGGAGCCTGTCGCACCTGCAACTAAAACCTCAAACGGCTGCGGTTCTCTGAGGACCTCAGATGCACGGCGACGGCCAAGATGCCCAGATTTTCCATCAGTTCCTTCGAGGTGCTCAGTCTGGCATTAACAGCAAAACTTTCCCTTCCGATTTTAAACTGAAGTTATATTCCAATTAGAAACTGAAAAAAACCTTGAGAAAACATCTAAAGGGCCAGAAAAGAAAACTCCAGCCAGTGAAACGTAGAAAGTGGTTTGTTTTAAATGCGTTCGTTTTCTGTTAAACATAAGTGAAGTCCACAAGGCCAGAAGGGGAGGGGGTCCCAGACACAAATGTGCTACCAAAAATCGACTTTTGTCTTTTTTCTCGTCAACAGTGAAGTTAACAGGGTTGAAATCTGAAGAGACGGAAGGGCTGACGTTGGGGTAAAAGGGAAAAAAAAATGAGAGCCGCCATTCTCCGCCAAAATGAGGTTAGTGATCCAGACAGAGGGTTTCGAAGCTGAATGTATACTGTACGTCTGGCCAGCCCCGGGGCGGGACCTCCACCCAGAACTGTCAAAGCCCAGACTCCACGCTTCCCTCCCGGCACCCAGCCCAGCGTCCGCCGGCCTCATCCCGGACCCCAGCCACTCTCGGAGCAGAAGGGGACCCTTTCCCAAGTGGAATTTCCAACAGCCTCCATCCGAGGCTCAGTGAAGGGTCCATCGCCGGGCTGTTTAACATCACAAAGGAAATTCTGAACTGGTTTCCATAAACGTGGGCCGGGGAAGGGTTTTCTCCAGGCTCTGAGCAAAAGGGTTCCCCACCAAGAGAGATTTTCAAAGCATGGAAATCATGGTGGCAGCGGGAACCCGGCGTCACGTCTTCTTCCACAGGAAGGCCTCGTCGGCGAGGACCTGCGCCAGCCGGGCATTAAAAGGCCCGTAGAAGTCCCGCAGGAGCCTCTGTGTGACCGGCCACATGGGCCCCAGGTTCCGGTCCTCGGGACGCCGCGCATTGGATGCGGGGCTCTTGGTCATCAAGGCCTCTTGTTTCTCACTTAAGGGCCCTGGAACACAAAGGAAAGAGCCTATGAGGCAGGAGGCAAAAGAAACTTTGAGAAAATCCCAGCCGTGCTTCCTGTTGAGACAGGAGTTTCCCGTAAGAATGTGTTTGGAGGTTCAAATTCTTTGGCTGGATCCATTTCTGAGTGGCTGAGGGTGGAAGGTGGAAATTCCAGTGTGAAAGAGCAGAGATTCTGTGGTCCGGTGTGTTACCCCACCCTTGGAAGCAAGGCTGGGGCTCTGGGGCGCAGTTTCATTTCCAACTGCCCGTCAACGGGACCCAGCCTGTCCTTGGGTAACTGGGCGACCTGCCACACACAGTCCCTGCACGCAGCCTCTCCTGCTCACCAGCCACTGGAAGTCTGCCCCCACTGCTTCTACTTCAGGCCGATGCAAAGGGCCTCCTGATGGGCCCATATTTCAGCCTGTGTGTCGTGCTGTGAAGTGGCCATGGGGGAAGGGGAGAGACCACCTGTGCCCAGAGACCCCCCACTGGCTGAACCTCCACCTGCAGCAGGCATATCCGTGGGGAGAGGCCGGGAACCAGCCAGCTCATGCTGCCCCGAGGCTGCCACTTCCACCCTCAGCCCTCGGGACCGCAAGCCTCTCACTGGCTTAACCCCCGGGACCACTGCTCAGGCCTCTGTGCCCCAGGCCCTGGCGATCAGTCTGAAGTCCTGAGCCCATGCACAGAAAAACTACATCCCAGTGTCCTCGGGCTACGTGACAGGGAAGGAACAGAACTGGCCTTACTGTCCATCTTAGGGATTAAAGACAAGTTCATGAATGTGACAGAGTCTACAGGCGGCCAAATCAAAGAAAAATGGTTCCAGGCCTTACAAGGAAAGAGTAATCACACTCCATCACGTTACAAGCTCTCCAAGAAAAGGAAAAAGAAAATCAAATGACAAAAGGGTCCCGAGTCCCAGTGGTGGGCAAACAGATTTCAGGAAAAGTTCAATTAACAAAATTCCCAGGCAAGCTCATGAGACAGGGCCGCAGGAGCTTCTGGGGAGGAATGTGCAGGGTGCTCCAGCCTCTCCAGCGGTCCTGGGTGCCGCCTACGGGGGAGCACCCTGCACCCATGGACACTCCTCTACGAGCCCTCACTGTGGCCAGCGACTTGGCCTGCTGCCACAAAGTGCCCCTTGGGACTCTGGCTGGGGGCAGGCTCCCCTCCCTAGAGGCCCAGGAGCCCAAACCCAGCCACATGGCTGTGCCTCCGCGGGTTCCCAACAAAGCTGAGACAAGCATGGACCTGCCCATCCCCCCCGACCCCCAGGCCCTGAGGCCTCTGCGAGACGGTCCCAGGAGCCCAGACACCCTGTCCATCCTTAAGGCGCAGCTCACACCCTCCCTTCCAGGATCGCTTCAGTGGCTGGGCCCCCAAGTCACGTGTACGGACCCACCGTGAGATCGCTAACCTCCCCCACCTCACTCTACCAGTTACTCGGTTATTCGAGCCTCGGCTTCCTCCTCTCCCTCCAGTGAGGGAGCTCCCAGACGAGAGGCCACCTCTTCCTCCCCAGAGACGGCTCCCCACACCACGCGCGAGGCCCCGTGTGCACGTGGTGCTTGACAAACAGGCACTAACTGGCCTCCCGGCTCAGCCCCGCCCTGCTCGGCTCAGGGGTCTGCGTGGGACGCGGGGAGCGCCTCACAGAGCCGGTGTCCTCGGAGCTCGCGCCCTGCTCCGTGGGCCTCCAGTGCGACATTCATACCGAGGCTGAGAAACTGGAAGACCCTGTGCATGGTGTGCTTGACGTTAGAGGCGTGGTCTTCCAGGCGGAGAATGAGGAACTGTTCTTTATTAAAGACCGTGAGCCAGTCCAGAAGGTACACGGCGTACAGCCCGACCTGCAGCCTCACCTAGGACCGAAGAAGGCAGGCGTTAGTTCAGGGGTAATTCCTCCGACACCGAAGGCGCTTTTCCAAACGTATTACACACGTCATTATAAACCAACAGGGAAGCGTTGTCCCAGCAAACAACTGCCTTCAGAAGTTGGATTTTTTTTTTTTGCGGTATGCGGGCCTCTCACTGCTGTGGCCTCTCCCGTTGCGGAGCACAGGCTCCGGACGCGCAGGCTCAGCGGCCACAGCTCACGGGCCCAGCCGCTCCACGGCATGCGGGATCTTCCCGGACCGGGGCACGAACCCACGTCCCCCGCATCGGCAGGCGGACTCTCAACCACTGCGCCACCAGGGAAGCCCCAGAGGTTGGATTTTAAACGCCACGTGTTCTTGCTTCTCCATGCTGGGTTTGGTGTCCCCCGCACAAAGGATTCCCACCTTCAGGGTCCCATGCCATCCTCAGGTCAACCCTGCAGGTAGCTCCACACCACTTCATAGTGAGGAGTGGGGAGAATGGAGAGGCCAAGGTCACACCCACCGATGGCGCGAACGTTCTTTGCACATATCCCGGCTGCCTCAGCTCCTATGCCCAGCGCAGCACCGCCGTGAGAAACAGCGGCAAATGCTCCAGCAACAAGCCCCGAGAGGGAACAGCCAGACGCCTGGCGCCACACGGACGTCCCTGACCTTGAGTGTGTGAGCACACCCCAATATAAGCAGAGCTGTACGAAGCCATCCCTTTCTGCCTACGCGTCGGGGTCCGTCCTCCTCCTGTGCCTTGTCTCGTGCCAAGCTGCAAGCATGCGTGGTGAAGCACGAACCTGACCACAGAGAGGTCTGGCCCTTGTCCTCGGCTCCTGGAAGATGATCTCTAGGCCACCTGGAATGTCCTGCCTGGTAAGGGTATCTTGCTTGCCTCGGAGGGTCTGGCCACTGGACAGTCTAACAGTGTGAGTTATGATGCGGGCTCTGGGCCACACAGTACCGGCCTGACCTCCAGGAGGGGCTGGACAGTAAAGGTCGGTCAGGCAGGTACTGCGTGAGGGAGCCTCAAGAAGTGCTTGGGACACCAGAGGCTTGGGTGGGCTTCCCTGGACGGCAACACTCTGCGTGTATCATCGCATGCTTACGAGGCTGAGTTCAGTCTGTGACCCTTCCCTGCTGTAAACCGCAACCTCGAGTGTGACAGCCATCAGCGTGTCTTGTGATTCCTTCTAGTGAATTACTGAACCCGACAGTGGTTTGGGGGACTGCACCCAGCTTGCACATGGTGTCAGAAGGAAGAGCGTCTTGGGGACTGCCCCCTCTAACTTCAAAGTGGGCTCTAAACTCTTGGCAAGCTCCAAAAAGGAACAGGCCCTTCCCTTTCTGCGCTGAGGCCCCCCTTCTCCGGCACTCCCACCCCTGCCCCTACCCACCACGTCCTCTGGGACCCGGCTCCGTGTCCTGCCTCTGGCTCTGCCTCGCTGTGGTCTTCCCAATTGCTTCTCATTTGCCCCCGTCTCGTCTCTGTTCAGGCCGCATCAGCGCCTGTCTGGCACTGTCACAGCCCCCTGACTGGCGCTCCCACCTCTAGTCTCTGAGCGTGAGCTTCCCACGCCAATGCCTGGCCTCGCCTGGCTCTCCACGTGGGGCAAGTCCCTGGTCTGACTGGACTCCTGGCCCACCCCCTCCCAGCGCCCAGTCTCAGTTCCTGCAGCCGACGCTTTCACATCCTACTTCCTCTCCTTCCCAGCTCGACCTTGAGCTCCTCCAGGGCGGGGACCAGGCTCTTCCATCATCCCAGCCGCAAGTGGCCTGCGCCCAGCCACTCACACTGAACACGGTGGCAACAATAAGACGGTGAAAAATAGGTACAGACGCTAGTTTCATCTCTCCTAGTCTCACTCCATTTCATTGTTTTTCTAATTGTGTGGGAGGTGGTGGAGGAAGAAAAACAATTAGAGGGGAGAAGCTGTCTCCAAAATCCATCAGCTGCCTACAGCCCTCAGGTTGTCACTACCCTGGACACCAGCTCAGGAAAAGACGTCAAGCTGGGCCAGAGCTAAAGAGAAAGTGAGCACGTGCCAGCCTCGTAAATAAATACCCGCGTCGCCTCCAACACAGACAGACGGCTGCGAGGACACCTCCTTGTTAAGCCCTCGAGAGCTTTTCGGCTCTTCGTCAGCCTCCCAGGCCGGCCCCTCCCAGGGAGGACCAGCCCGATGAGCTTTATATCTTCCGGGGAACCCGCCTTTGCTGCTCAGAACCTTCTAGAAGGAAAGGAGCTGGGAGTTTGCGGCAGGAGGAGGGTGTTTTAAAGTAGCTGCAGAGGTCCCTGCGCCTGTCCACGGGTGACAGTATTTCCCTGAAAGCGTGTCTGTGTCTTCGCGGGGAGAGCCCCCTCCACTGGCCCAGGCCTCCAGTAGCTGAGTCTTCTCTGCCAGGAGGGCTGGTCCGGCAGCGGAGGGGCCATTGGGGGCAGGCAGGGAACAAACCTGGGGGCTCTTCAGGGGAAGAGAGGTGGGGCCCCCTGGCCCCCTGAACACTCCATCCTCTGGCTCACTCCGACCCCCAGCCCCCTTACCAGTTAAGGGAAGCGCCGCTCACCTCGAGTGACAGTGTCAGCGTGCGCAGCATAACTACTAACAAACCTAGGACAGGCCCACTCAACACTTTTTCCGCACCCTTCCCCAGTATCGGCCAGAGAATCAAAATGGAATGAACATAAAAAGGTTATTTAGGGGAAGTGCCCAATACATTTAAACTTTTAAAACACCAGAGCGGAGAGAAGCCTTTGAGGTTACCTGCTTCAGCCGCCTCTTGATGGAAAAAACAACCAAGGCCTAGGGAGTGCGGGGTCCTGCCTGCCCAGGGTCAGCGGAGAAGACCCTCCAGAGCCTAGTCCTGAAGCCAGGTACTTGCGCTTGGGGCCTGTCCCCCCCGTGCTGGGAAACAGCTGAGGAGCCAGTGCAGGGTCTCCCCTGACAGGCACATGCCAAACCTCTCTGGTCCCCATTAGGGATCTGGTTGGAACTCTCTACTCAGCCTCTCCACTAGTTTCACAAACTCCCCATTCATTCATTCTGCAAATAATCTAGCGCATCCTGCACGCCAGGTACCCTGCTAAGCAATGGAGAGACGTTGCTATGTAACAGATGTGGCCCCTGGCCACATGGCGCTTGTAATCTAGTGGAGACAGAGCTAAAATGGTGAAGAAACAATTATCTATAATCGCCAGTTGTGACACATGCTGTGGGGAAATGAATAGTGTGGAGAGAGAGAGAACAGGTCAGATTGAAGCCAGACCTGAAAGGTGAGGAGTCCTGCAAAAACCAGGAGAAGCACGTGCCGGGGAGGGGAGTGTGGAAGGCTCTGGAACCAGGCTTCTCCAGGCCAAGCACAAAACACACCCACCTGGAGGGCTGTTCAACAGACTGGACTGATGGGCCCACCCCCAAAGTTCCTGATTCTGGGGTCTGAGGCTCAACCTGAGAGTTTGCATTTCTGACAAGTTCCCGGGGGGACTGATTTTCTTGGTCCAGGGAGCACACCTTGCAAAGCCCTGCTCTGAGGCACGAGGACCTAGCAGGAGAGAGCGTGGCTGGAGAGCAGCAGTGGACAGGGAGGCAGGGGAGGTGGCCTGGAGGAGGTGGACAGGTGGGCGGGGCGGGCTCGTGCGCTCAGGGGCCACAGGAAGGCAGGGAAGGTCTTAAGCGGGGTAGCGCCCCGCTCCACGTACGTATGAAAAAGATGGGCCTCCCCGCACTGTGGTTGAGCTGGGATTCACAACTGGAGGGAAATTGCTTCTCTCATCCCAGAAATGAAGATTCACCCAGAAGAGGAGGGTTTCCAACCGCTCTTGCCTTCCTGGCTCTTCCCACTATGCAGGAGCTCTCCAGGGACCGAAGGGTCACGGCGATCCGCATGACCTCACGGCCCCGCCATCCTGTCACTGATCCTGCCCTGGGGTCTCATTCTGACCAGAGATGCCTCGTCATCCTCAGCAATTCATGGAATTGAATTAAAAAGTACGTGTTTCCCGCCGGTTCAAACCCTCCTTTTTAGGAGCCAGCTAGGGAAGGTGGAAATGCTGTGAGCCTCATCAAAGGCCATGGGACCTGGGATTAAACCCTGAGCCTGCCCATCACAAGCTACGTGACTCTGGGTGGGAGAGTTAACCTCTGTGAGCCTCTGTGTCCTCATCTGTAAAATGGGCTTGGATTTCAGGGAAACGGAGAGGACTGAACAAGATGATGCCCTGCAAGGTGCCCCTCATCCTCTCTCTAGCAGGAAGGACAGAAGTTAATCACTGGGGACAACTCTAGACCCTGATCAGCCTGGAGACAGCACCAAAGGTGTCCACATGACAGACCTTGCTAAAACTAGCCCTTATTGACCACTGGCTCCCACATACATCTGCCTTCCCACAATTTGCCACCCTAGAAAGTCAAAGTCCTTTTCCTTTGTCTTGTCACTTCTCTACATATTTATGGTTCTCTTGTTAAGACGCTATATAAGCCCGAGTTCTAACCACCCATCCGAGTTACTCATCACCGGGGCTCCCGTGGATATGTGCACGTGTGCATACGCATGTGTTAATAAACTTCTGTTTGCTTTTCTCTTGTTTATCTTCCGTCAGTCTAATTTACAGGGCCCCGGTCAACGAACCTGAGATGGGTAGAGGAAAAGGATTATCTTCTCGCCCCCTACACGCGAATGAACTACCACTCTCTAACCCTTACCACAGCCTAGTAAAGCAGTGCTATTACCCCATTTTATGATGAAGCAACTGAGTCTCAGAGAAGCTAAGACAACTGCCCAGAGTCAGCTGCCCGAGTGGGAACTGAACCCACACCACTCTGGCTCCAAAGGCCACTCCTTCTACCCCACACCCCCAGCCAGATTCTGTGTCGATCCTCTGTGTGCATCCTCCCCGCCAAACTATAAATTCCAGCGGGACAGCCTGGAATCCTACCTACGGCCTCTGTGCATCCTGCCAGATAAGATGGCCTAGATAATGAGGAAGAGGGGGTGAACCCTCTTGACTTTGAACCCCACCGCACCTGGGGGTTCCCAAGCCTCCACCTCAAGCAGATCTCACCACATGGCACGCTCAGCAGAGCAAGGCTGTGGACCACGCTCCGGGGCAGGTGACATATTAGCTTCGCTGAAGAAGGCTTACCCACTGCGGCAAACCTGCTGAAAGGCACTTAGGACAACCCCGGGTGCTGTGCAGCAGAAAACCATCCCTTAGCTAAACCGTGCTGAATTCACCACTAACAGCTTCTTGTGCTTTAAAAAAAAAAAAACGGGCAAGAAACGTACAGCTATATTCCTGAAGGCAAACAAGAACAAAGAAAAAAGGGATCAATGGAAAATATGTTTCCATTAAGACCCTGTCGGAGACACTGAAAGTCACTGGTGGGTAATTTTTTAAACCAACAAAACAATCCAGCATTGGAGAGAACGCTCTTAAGACAATCAGAAAGTTGGTCTGCCAATCCTAATTGCAGGGTGTGCTCTCGGAGCCTCACTAAATAGTAATCTTCCTAAATGCGCCCTCATTCTTTCGCAGAGGGAGGAGAGAGCATTGTAACTGGGAGATCGGCGCGGGAGAAAGCAGGGAGCCAGCTGAAAGGTCCATCAGCTTCTACAGTTTTTACAGCCATGAATATTTGTTTTGCATTAGCCACCGCTCAAAGGCACAGGGAGAGGCATTTGCACATTAAAATGCTTCTCTGTTTATCTGCTAAAATCCCGACGCACAATGCCCTCGCATGATAACCGCCGAGCAGCCCCTCCGCGTACGCACAGGCATGGCGTTGTTAAGAGTGTTGTTGTAGACACAGGCGCGCAGTGAATAACCCAGCACGCAAGTTTCAAACAGCTGCAGCGCTTCTGTCACTTTCTCATGGAAGTCATCTGCAGATTTATTCGAACTTGCAAAGTAGAGATAGTCTGAGTACAACCTGTGAATAAAACAGATGGGTGTCTTTTACCACCGGGAATGTGAAATCTCGACATCTGAGTGACAATGGAAATCTACAAGCAATTATATGACCTCATTTGGTTCATTAAAACACAACCATTCCTCTCGCCACACACCCCCACCCCCGTCCCACCACCCCGGCAGAGAGCCACTTCCTACCACCCTGGACACCCTCGCCCTTCCCAGGGCCACTCGCTCTCCTGGCCCCAGACAAGCCACCCGTAGTCTCTGTGGTTTCTTTTTTTTTTTTGGTTCTTTCTAGGCGCCTCAGGCCGTGACTGTTTTCACAGTAACAGTGAACTTCGAAACACCAGATTACAAAGACCGTACAACAGCAGAGAGAGGCCGTGAAAATTTTATGTCCCCTCCGGTTCCTCTCTCCTCTGCCGGCGGCACTAATCACGGAACAGCTGTCGCTCTCCCCGTATTACAATTCCGCGTGAAATTCCCAGCCCTTACCACAGACTCTGAACGTTAAAACAAAAATTATGAAACGTATCTTTCTAGGTTGATAGGGACCTATTTTTTAACACAGTGTAAAAATACCCCCATGTACGAATGCAGAGGCCTGTAGGCCTACATGTGTGTCCACACACATGGATCTGTTCACACAAACCCCACCACACGTATGTAACAGTGTTTTCACACAGGAGCAGACAGCGTCTCTCTTTGACCAAACTGTTCTCAGGTTCCTCTGAACCTTCTTCCCAACATGGCCTTGAGTTTTAGACTTCCTTGTGGGTCTCTGTATCGCCAGATTTCAACAAGAATCCTGCTAGGTCCGTTTAGCCAACCCCGCCCCCCTTACCCCTGCTGTTTCTTCATAGTAACTTCCCATCCACCAACCCACATCCTCCTTGGCTATAATTTCCCACTCTTCCTTGTATTTGGCGTTGGCCACAATCTCGTTCCCCTACTGCAAGACCCGACCACAGTGGTCACTACACCTATTGCTACAGCCCTGAATAAACTCTGCCTTTTACCATTCTTTAACACGAGTCAGAATAATTTTCTTTCTTTCTTTCTTTTCCGCAAATCTTCTGAAAATATACTTTACTGGACTTTCAACATTACAGAGAGATACTTTCTTTTACCATGGTATAATTCTTTTCTTATATCAAATAAACAATAAGTAAAACAAAACAAGTTACAGCACAGTAATGAGCACAGCTTTGTTTTAACGTTTTTGGCCCCAGTTTCCCCTGTGGTCTAACTTTTGATGCCCAGGCCCGCTCTCTCTCCCGTACTCCAAGTCATAGCGGGGAGGCGGTGTCTAGCATTAAATTCGTCTGTAAAACAGGAGGACTAATTGTGCTTTCCTCGTGGCGTATAAACAAGATAACCCATAGAAATCCCAGGGGTGACCCTCGTTATCAGCTGCTTATATATCCTTCCAGAAGTTTTCCGTGTACAACATATATCTGCATATTTTGTATTTTTTTAAAACATAGATGTATCAGGTCATATTGGATGGGATCAGTTAATGTATCTATTATTACAGCACTCCCCTATTTATTTAATTTGGGGGAATTTTGAACATCCGTAAAAGTAGATAAGATAGTACATACACAGCAGCCCAGTATAAACCTTATTCCATTGTCACCCAGTAATTTTTTCTTTCTTTTTTTTCGGAAGGGGGGCCACGCCACGTGGACTGCGGGATGTCAGTTCCCTGACCAGAGATTGAACCCGGGCCACAGCAGTGAAAGCACCGAATCCTAACCACTAGACCACCAGGGAACTCCCCAGTCTTTTTTTTGCGGTACGCGGGCCTCTCACCGCTGTGGCCTCTCCCGTTGCGGAGCACAGGCTCCGGACGCGCAGGCTCATTGGCCATGGCTCACGGGCCCAGCCGCTCCACGGCATGTGGGATCTTCCCGGATCGGGGCACGAACCCGTGTCCCCTGCATCGGCAGGCGGACTCTCAACCACTGCGCCACCAGGGAAGCCCCCCACCCAGTCATTTTCTACATTAACAGAACTTCTGAGTTCTGTTGTGAGTTTCCTATGCCTTTTTCTCCTCTGTTTCTGCAGGCAGAGAGGGTAAGTCTTTATCTTTTTTTGCTTTTCAAAAGTCACCCCTTTGTTTCTGTCTTATGCCTTTTTCAATGCACACCCTCTAGGGCCCCCCACTGCTCTGCCCGACACCCTGTACTCACACTCAACCCCCAGCTGCCCAGAAACCAGGCTGATTCAGACTGGCTCCCTGCTCTGTGGTGTCACGTTTCTCTCTTTCTCAGCTCCATACTTTCTATTCTGCCAACTTCTCCAACCTATAGCTTCCCTCTTTCCAGGGAAGGAAATTCAGCAAATCGTATTAGGTACCCACAGGTCTGGGGATTATAGGTGTGCACCGCTGACTGCACCCAGGGCTTCCGTCGTGGCACTCAGCCAACCTCACCCCTGCAGAGACGGCAGTGCCTTTGGTGCACGGGGCAGCTGCAAACACTCCTTCTCCAGCACCCCTCACCTCTCGCTACAGCTGTAAGCGTTTCCAAAGATTTCCTAAAAAGAGCAGAGCTTCTCAGGGACCAGACTGTCTTCCCCTCTGGCGTTTGGCACAGTGCCTTCTACACGGCCCTTTAGAAATCATCCGCTGCCAGTGTCCACAGAGGACACCTCTGAGAAGTCTTGAGATGTTTGGGATCTGCTCACAGATTGCCTAGAATCCGAACACACACTGGAAAGTGTTCGTACATCTCAGCCTGGTCAGCCAAACCTCCAAAATGACTTGCTTCAAGACGAGTCGTTAGAGATGCTCAGGTGAGTAGATCCTCCCCCAGATCCATGTTCACCCAAATACAGGACCCAGATGACACTACATTTGTCCCCCCATTACAAGTGTCCCCCCACATTGGCTGTGCTCTTTTCCCCCTTCAAAAACAGGACCTCCATCAAGACAAACATGGCACCTGTCACTGCAGGGTCGGTCGTAGTATAATCTAAAAGCTGATGGATAAACGCCAAAACCAGATTTGCACGGACCTCAAAGTGCAGCTGAGCTGTACGCAACTGGGCACCTTGTGGCAATGGGTCTGAGGGAGGTCCCTTCTGGCTCACACGTTTCCTAGGAGTGCCGTCGATATTACGACTTTGCCCAAGAAAGACACCTCTGAAACTGTCATCAAAATCTGTGCCTAATTGGAAGTCCAAGTCCAGAGTTCTTACCAAGGACTCCCACACAGCTATCCAAATTCGCTGGCAGAATTGGAATTCTATCACGTAAACTGCCACTTAAAAACCCACCCCTCGGCTCAAGCTTTCCGTGCTGAGTTTATTTTGTGGTAATAACATTTCTTGTAGGCGTGTGGCTCATAAATAAGACAAGAGCCTCTCAACCTGGCTGCATTTTAAACACACAGTAACTTCATGAAGAATATTAGCTTCATGAAGAATCTCTCCATACAATTCTTTAGAGATCAAGAAGTAGTTCTAGGGGACAAACTGGGACGTGTTCAATGGTCCAACCAGGCCAGCCCAGGCCCACCAGGGTGAGAATACTGATCGTCGTCTGTTTGGGGTACAGTGAAAGGAACTCAGGACCCCACCTTCTGTGAATCAGGTTCATGGCCAGGCCCACCTCCTCGGGAGGGTGAGGGGAGATTTCTCCTGCCCCTCAGTCCCCCAGGGACCCTGGATCTGCCCACAGGGTGGGTGGGGGGCTTCCTAGAGCCCACACACATGCTGGGATACATGTCTGTAACAAGTCCTTCATGCCCTGTCTGAGCAGGGCCCTCTCCCCTCCCCCTCTCCCACTTGGAGTCTACAGATTTCCCAAAAGATAGGCCCAAGTCCTAACCTCCAGTACCTGCAAATGGGATCTTATTTGGAAATAGGGTCTCTGCACACCTAACTACGTTGAAGACCTCCAGATGAGATCATCCTGGATTTACGGTGGGCCCTAAGTCCAAGCACTGGTGTCCCTATAAGAAGAGGCTCGGACAGGGACACGTGGGGCGAAGGCATGTGAAGACAGAGGTGGAGACTGAAGTGTTATCTACAAGCCAAGGGATGCCAGGATTGCAGAAGCCACAGGAAGCTGGGGACCCATGGAGTGGATTCTCCCTCAGAGCTTCCAGGAGGGACTAACCTTGCCAGTACCTTGATTTTGACCTGTGCCCTCCAGAACCATGAGACAATGAGTTTCTGTTGTTTTAAGCCACTACATTTGTGATAATTTGTTACAAGAGCCCCTAAGAAACTAGTCCAGATTCTAAACCCAGATTCCTGAGGAGTCATTTTTGCCAGCCCTCTCTCCCACCCTGAGACCCTAGAAGAGTGACCTGTGTGTACAGGAGGACGATGGCCACGTGGCCAGCTCTTCTGCAGAGAAATATGAAGGAGGAAAAGCAAAACAGGACCCTTACTTTCCCGGAGGGCACTACTGGGTCCTCCCGAAGAATCAGGCTGGTGCTTCATAAGAATGTCTTCAATGAACAATACTATGATTTCCCCACAACTACTCTCTAGAGAAAAAGAGTCAGATAATGACCCTGGATTAGTGCAAGCCACTTGGATGGACTAAAACCATTCAGAAAACGTTGAGAAGGACAGCAAATATATCATGAATAAGTATCCAAATGGACCTCCAAACGCTAGAGTAGGCATGAAACGGAGGAGCACCCTAGGGTCCTCGCCCCCCGTGTCCTCGCCCCCCGTGTCCTCCGCCTGCCTTTTGTCTGTAACCGAAGAATAAGTTTAATCAGAGAAGTGAGAAAATGCAGAAACAAAGGAAAACAGTCCAACAGACTAAGTAATACCAGTTTAGTCATAAAGCAAAGCCAAGGACCTTTAGTTCCTCCTCGAGGGCTACAGATCATATTCTGAGCCACATCCTGTGAGCTGTCTTATAGATACTGAAACCCCCGCCAGGTGGAGGAATGATGACCAGACTGTAGCCACGACATAAGCTGCCACAATTCCGAGAACTGGCCTCAGGAAAATGGGAACAAACCGACCCTAGAACTGAAGATTAACTGT